CTGTGGCTTTACACACCCCCCCCCTTTGCCTTTGGTGCTCCCGGAACACTGATAAAAGGGGGTTAATTTTCAGCTTATTCCAGTCATCATTCCTTCAAACAGAAAAATAAATAAGTCCGTGTGACTCATCTTCTGTTACAAACCAGAAAGCAACCACTAAGTGGTTCTTTCCTCCCTTTATTTTATTTATTTATTTATTTATTTATTTGATACGAAATTGAGCAAGCAAAAGCCAAATCCCCAAACAGTTCTGTAGTACATATTGGCTGAATTGATGAATGAGAATGTTCAAAGCATCAGTACATTTCTTCAGTGTGAGTCTTTTGTTTTGCTTGGAGTGGAGCTTGTGTACCCCCATCAGCAACTTCCTTGCCCCAATTGTGTATTCAGTCAGTTCCAGTGGGTTTCCTGTTCCATCACGGGTACTGTACTTGGAGTCTAAATGAAGCTTCAAAGAGTGGAAAATGCCTCACATTTTTCCAGGAGAAGGGAGGTACATGTAGTAGACTCAAGTTCTGTGTGCCCACACTGCCTTGTGAGGATCCCATCCACCAGCTGGTGATAGCAGTAGGTGAATTTGGCATTCGGAGAGTCCAAGAGGAAGGAAGGTTTGGCTATCTCTCTTCCCGTGCCAGATCAGAGTGAGTATGGCTGCCTGGACATGTCTCAGATAACTATATGGAATTTGTTTCACAGCGAGGTCCCTTGTTTGCATTTATTTGCACACAGAGTAAAGGAATCACATTAGACCAGAAACTTAAAAAGAGCAGTTTAAGAAAAGAAAGCTAGAAGAACCAGGTGTTTCTTCATTTTTGTCGTTGGTAGAACAGACTGTTGCTAAGCTAATTCACTGCTATGATCAATACAGAAGGCCTGTCGTTGGCGCCCAGAAAGATGACGTTACTTAGTGAATGCTGCATCTGAATATCTCCAAGTTACTACTTTCATCAGCCAAATGAATGACCTCATCTCAAAACACACACACACACACACACACACACACACACACACACACACACACACACACACACGTAGGTGTGTGTGTGTATGTATGTATGTATGTATGTATGTATGTATGTATATTCAAAACAACCCCAGAACAGCCTTTGTGGATTAATCAATGACAATTCAGGGTTTCTATTTTAAGAGTCCTTGATGCAGTTCCAAAACATAACTGGTGATTTAATTTTTTGAGTGATCTTGAATTTATGCTCTGTTGAATGTGTTTTAATATTCACTATTCTGTCTTAGCTTTTTAGGAAACTATATCTATTCCCGAAAGAATATGTACAAAACACTCAGTGCAGAAAAACTTTCAATGTGTAACAGCTTTGTTGAAGTATAATTCACATATACAACTCATGCATTAGAAGTAAACAGTGAAGGGCTCTTAGTATAGAGTTGTAAAGCCAGGACAGAACTCAGCTTTAGAATAGTTTCATCATAGCAGAAAGTTAACCTTGGATTTACTAGACATTTTCTTCCTGTTCCCCACTCTTCCTGCCTCTTGGCTACCCAGTCTGTATAGACTTACCTGTTCTGGACATTATAGATAAGGAAATCTCAGTGTGTGACATTCTTTGCCTTTGCATTGCTGTGTGTATGGTTCTCCCATCTGGTGGCATGTGTTAGTACTTCATCCCTTGTAATTGCTAACTCTATTGTACATGTATATCATACATTATTTGTTCATTCATCCTCTGGTGGATATTTGGGGTGTTTCTACTTTGTAGCTGGTATGAATGTTGCTACCATGGACATATTTGTACATGCTTGTTGTGGGGGGCATAGATTTTATTATAGCTAGTAGAATTACTGGAAATGTTATAGCTCTTTAACCTTCTGGGGGAACTACAAAAACTTCTCCCAAAATGGAGCTATAGTACTACATTTTAAAGATTTTTTTTTCTTTTTGTTCTTGTTTTACTTTTATATGTATGGGTGTTTTGCCTGTATGTATGTATGGCTATCACATGTGTGCCTGGTACCCAAGAAGGTTAGAAGAGGCCCCACTGGTGCTGGGGTTACAGATAGTTAGTTATTAACCAGCAGGCAAACCCACCATAGGAGTGGAGTAGCATGTAATCTTCACTGTCGAGCCGACTCGCCAGCCCTGGGTGCTAGATTTTATACAGTGGACTCCTGTTTTAAATTTCAAATCATTTCACCGATTATGTAATTTGAGTTAGAATTTGACTTGTTTAGTAAAACCTGTGTGGTATTTATTACAGTTATTCTTTGGGAGTGTTACCTGGTTTTATTTTAGTCCTCAGAAGCAATGCTGTGTGTTCTTCACTGAACTACTGCCTGAAACTAAGTAGTAAGAATCCCAGAAGTATTTCCTAATAGGTCTCTGAGGACTAAAAACATTAGTGATAATTACTGGACTTGAATACAAGATAAAATTGAAAGGAGGAGGAGGGAAAGCATAAAGGGGCATACTGTGCAGAACTTTATTTTCCTGTGTGCGTGGGGGGTTAGTTTTTGTTGCTGCTGTTGCTTGGATTTGTGTTCTGTTTTTAAGAAAGTTTTTACCTTTACAGGGAAAAATGAAGAACGAAATTGCCGCTGTTGTCTTCTTTTTCACAAGGCTGGTTCGAAAACACGATAAGCTGAAAAAAGAAGCAGTAGAGAGGTTTGCTGAGAAATTGACTCAAATACTTCAAGAAAAATATAAAAATCACTGGTATCCAGAAAAGCCATCAAAAGGACAGGCCTACAGGTAAAGAGTTAGACTGGGTGGTTGAATTGGACTGAGTGAAGATCAGTTTGTGTAATGGCTACAAGGCCAGGGGACTGAAGGTTTAGAACATGCCTATTATGATTTTATCTACAAAATACAAAACTCTGCGGTGTCAGGGTATTTTCTTGTTCATTTTTAAGTACAAGTGATTGCTGATGGGTTTATTGTTAAGTCCTGGTGGACCAGAGCTCTTTCATCAGTTAGTTTTTTGTGCCTAGTCTGGCTCCTGCTCAAGTACACTTTGCTTGGGTACTTAGGGTTTTTCACAAATCTGTAGGATTCCAAATCTCTTCTAAATGAGCATGACAATTAAGAGTTGAGGGAAATTAGTCTCACATGTTTGTTCTTTTGAAGAAGTTGGTGATGGCGCATGCCTTTAATCCCAGCACTCAGGAGGCAGAAGCAAGCAGGTATCTGAGTTCGAGGTCAGCCTGGTCTACTGAGCAAGTTCCAGGACAGCCAGAACTGTTACACAGAGAAACCCTGCTTAAGAAAAGAAAGAAAGAGTGACACTGTCTCAAAAATCAGAAAAAGATAATTAGCATAACATGTTCTTCTTGTCTTTATAGTGATGATCTCATTTATATTATGCATCTTTTTTGTGGTGTAAACCAGTTGAAGGTAACTCACCTATGTATTTCAAGTGGTAGATACTGGCCTGGGGATTTTAAATCAAGTCTTGGAATGAGGCCAGATTTTCATGAGCTGTGTACACCATGGTCTTGGCTCTAAGAAGGAAGAGGGTACCTACTTGGAACTGACTTGTAATGTAATTGTAAGTTACATGTACAGCTAGAAGAGCAGACTT